GCGATAATGAGACAACTATATACAGCTATCTAGACATTAGACTTTTTTTGTAGCAAATTTAGTATACAAAAAATAGTCATGCAGGCAAATGAAATCACAGAACTTCCTAAATTCAATCGGCTGATATCAGCTAATTTCTTGTGAATTGTTTATTTTTAATAAATCTATAACTTTTGGGAAGACAGTTTTTATCTAAAATTAAATATGTCGGAGATATAAGCAATTAAATTTGAATTTAATTTTATGGGTATTTTCCAATCTTCGGACTCCTGGAGCGCCATTTTCACTTATCCAATTGAACTAAAATTTTACACAGATTATTTATTTAGTGAAATGAACCAATCTGGGTAGGTGCCGTTAACCGATTTAAAAAAAACAATTGCCCACATACCTTAATGGCACCCTAATATATATGTATATATATGTAACAGGGTGACATGACTGTAATCATGACAGTTGCTATCTGTCACAGAGGAGAAACGCAGCAGTTGTTGACAGTGGTTTGAAGGAGTCAGTCGTGTGCGGTCGGACGTGGTATTGAACGTATTATATTGATAGTGAACATATTATCATTTTTTCAATTTCATAACATTTTATAACCTTTTTTGCATAATAACTGCACTAATAAATAATATTTCTTACATTTGGGGGCTCGTCCAAAGCCGAAAAGTGCAGCAAAAAAAATGGTGCACCGCAAAAATGCAAACGCGGGTTATGCAGAACGAAGCCTCAGAAGAGCAGAACATAACAAAAAGTGAAAATAATGAATATGTGCATGTTAGTGAAATTGAACGAAGTGAGATAAACGGAGGTATAAGTATTGAAAGTTTCGCAAAAATAGTGCCAGAATTTGATGGAGTTAACATGCCGATTCAGCAATGGATAAATAATTTTGATAAAAATGCCGAAGCATACTAACTAAGCGCAAAGCAAAAGTATGTTGACGCGCGCAATAAGATGAGAGGAACGGCGAAGCTATTCTTGGAAACTGTAACAGTGGTGAATTACGAAGCATTATGTGAGGCGCTAATACAAGAGTTTGATATAAAATTAAGTAGTGCAGAAGTACATAAGCAGTTGGTCTTGTGCAAAAAGCAAAAAGATGAAAATTTTCACGAGTATATACTGCAAATGCGCAAAATAACACCAGCGAATAATGTTGAAGATGAGTCTGTTATAAAGTATATAGTAGATGGTGTCGAGTTACGCGAGGATTTGAAATACCCATTATACAGTGCGCCAACGTTCAAAGAATTAAAAAGCCGATTCGAGTTAATGCAAACAATGAACAAAACCAGGCATAACCAAAGTACGAGCGAACAGAGACGTAGTCGTAATGAAGCAGAACAACGAAGAATAGAAGGCGACAGTAAACATCGGCAGCATTGCTTTAATTGTGGATCGACACAACATAAAAAAGCCGAATGCAAAGCCGAAACAAAATGTTTTAAGTGTAACGGCGTTGGGAATATAGCAAGAAATTGTACGAGTGCAAGACAAAGTGTACAGAGAATAATAAATGAAAGTCGTCTAAATTAGATAAAAATTAATAAAGAAAGCACAATGTGTTTGGTGAATACTGGAGAAGACGTGTCGCTAATGACCGAAAGTATAGTAAAGGAAAAATTCCCGACACACAAAGTGCAAAATAGTTCAATTTAGCGTTATGGCTTGGGTAATGTCAGCACGGCAGTATTGGACGAAATTACAGCAGAAATGGAAGTTGATGAATTGACAACAAAACACAAATTTTTAATTGTAGCAGATGAAAAAACTAATACTAACGTAATTCTGAGATATGATTTTTTGAAGAAATTTAAAGTAGTTATAAGTGCTGGAAGCTATGCGTTCACAGATGCGTATGATAGTTCATATGGAGAGAATTACAATATTTATAATGTGGTTAGTACCGATACTGAGATCGACGTTGCGCCGAAGTATAAAGAAACTGTAATGCAATGTATCAACAATTATAAACCAGGGGACAACACAGCAGCCAGTCCAATTAAATTAAGAATTGTATTAAATTGCAATAATATAGTATTCCGTGAAAGACTCAGTCGATTAGCAGTACCAGAACAGGAATTCGTACGAAATCAAGTAAATGAGTGACTAAAGCAAGGTGTTGTACGAAACTCGTGCTCCGATGTGGCAAGCAAAGTACTATTAGCAAAGAAAAAAGATGGTAGCTTCAGATTGTGCGTAGATTTTCGAAAATTGAATACGTTGGTACTGAGAGATAGGTCTTCGTTACCGATAATCGAGGATGTTCTTGAAAATATACAGGCGGCCAAATATTTTACAATGATGGATCTAAAAAATGATTTCTTTCATGTGG